ATGGGGGAAGGACAGGAGATAGTGACTATAGAGAGATGAATTACCAGTGCATGGGAGGGACCAATGAAGGCTGATAGAAAGATGTAGGAAGAGTACACATTATCCTTCACATTAGAATGTTAGAGCAAGAATTCTATTTTAGTTACACATACTTAAAAAAAAAGAATTAAAAACAGAATAAATTATCACAAATAATAACCTACATCGCATTTAGAATAACTTAGTGAATATATTTATAATTAGTGATAACCTATGAATCTATACAGTGAGCTCAGCACTTTATGTGCATTATTTCATAAAAGCTTCTTTATTACTCTGTTTTTGCAGGGAAGGGAAGTAAGATTTAGAGAGATTAAAGAAACTGCCAGAAGTCAGGGCCCTAAAGGCAGTGTTGGAATTTCAGCTGGTGAATCTAATGTGAAGGCCTTTGCTATTAATTTCCCTGTGGCTCCACTGATTTAATTAAGGGTTAGCTTACTAGAGAACTAGAAGAAACAAACATCCATCCTAGTTTACAGTTTAGAAAGATTTCTTTGTAATTCAGATGTTGATTTATATGTCCCTTACCTTGCATACGTTTTAATTCCTCAATCATAACCTTTGCCCCAAGGAACAGGTCTTTCTTTGACTCATTGTTTTAAACATTTAAAAAGTTGAAAGCCTTACAAGGCTATGTGGTGGTAGACGGACATCTCAAGGAGATAAGTGAGCTCAGATTCCCAGGAGACACCTAAGGGATAGATACTACTGACCGCAAGCCTATTACTGGGATGAGTACTGTTTTTGCTGTGGATAAGGACTGAAGGTATGAAATCATCCTAGTAGCCAGATTGAGGTGGATGCCTTCATTGGCAGTTCATGGCTGCTGTAAATTCCTGATTATAATTTTCTGAAATTAACTAACTACATACTCATAGAAAATTTAAATATCAATATCTTTAATATATGGCATCATTACAATATATTTTGTAAGCATTTTGAGCTCATTCTTAATTTTATGATAGGTTTGATGAAGAAAAGCAAACTATGGAAGATGGCTACTCCAAAACCATTAGTGATGCTTCTTCTGGAATCAAACATAAATTAGGTAAAACATATCAATAATATGACAACTTTTTAATCCTAGAAAGTACTGTTTTAAAAGGCATTAAGATCAATTAAAGACTATAAAACTTTTAGTATATATGATGCTGTTTGTGTGTGGGAGAGTATCTCAAAAATCTCACAGTATTATCATAATTTACTTTCTTCTGACTTTCTGTCATCCAAAAACTGTATAATAACATTGTACATTTTTGTATATCAGTTTTCAAATTGGAAAATGTGTTGTTTAAAACATACATAAGGACTTCTGTATTAGTGAATTAAGCTAACAAGGTAGGAGAGGCTATTTTAAAAGTAGAAATTTGCTTTGTTGTGTAAATATTAGAGATTTTTTAATATACTGAAATGACTTGTCAAAACCACAAAGACAGTTCTCCATTTTTCTAACTTGTTTTCATTGCTATTATTCACTAACAACCTAGATTTCACCATTTTCAAACAAATGTGGACAGAGTTGAGCCAGAATGTATATTCTTTCTTATTTGTTTTTACTTAGTATTTGATTAAATCTGTTAGAAGTAGACTGTCAGTAAACCTTTTTTTTTTTTTTTTTTTTTTTTTTTTTTTTTTTCCCTGCTACTGGGGATTCAACCCAAGCCCTTTGCACTAAAGTAATCCCCAGCCCTTTAAATTTTATGGCAATCTTTTACGTGGCTGAGTTCTGTAGGCTGGGCTCAGATTTATGATTTCTGCCTTGCCTTCCCAAAGTGCTGGAATTACAGGTGTGTGCCCCATGACCGGCTAGTGAACATTCATTTTAATGAAACAATAAAAAATTAAAACTCATTAGGAAGTAAATCTAGTAAATTGTTTTAATATTCAGATGTTATACTCTAACAGAAACTAAAAAGGAATTTCCTTTATTCCTTATAAATTCTATTCATTTCTTTTGTGAATAACCCAGTATGAATTATAATAATAGCATCTCTGAAGGGCGTGCAATTCAGATGTTAAAAATAAATGACCTCCTAAACTGCTGGCCTGCTTTGTAGCTACAGGATCTTGAAAGAGTCTTGGCATTTTGTTGCAGACTGTGGATTACACCACAAGAAACTGTGCATAAGTAGGTTATGTGGGGAACTCTTACATCTCAATCTGGGGTGCAAATATGATTCAGCACTTAAATTCAAATTCATTTCTCTTTTTAAAGAATATGTAAACCCATTCCATGGGGTTATAAATAAAACAAGACAAAAAAAAAACCCGAAATAAACAAAGAAGGTAAAACAAATTCAGAGTGTTTCTAAAAAACAACCCATGAAATTGCAAAGTCAAATTACTTACCTTTCAGAAAAACAAAGCTACCACTGGCATTTTCAACATAGATATAGATTATTCAAATTTATAATTTTCTAAACTGAAGCTAAAATCTTTATCTTAAGGGTTCTTTGATTTACAGAATTTTCAAAATTTCAACTCAACTCAAGTCAAAAAATTTTGTTATGCCTACTCTGGAACTGCCCTGGGTTTTACCAAATGTTTATTCATTTTTGTTTCTCTTATGGGTGATATTTTGAATTTAGAAACTGATGATGACATATGTTTCAAAAAGTCCCATATTGCTTATATCTGAATCAGCAGTAGATGAATACTCCTAATTTATTCCAAACAGTTTTGGTTGCTCATTCTGTAAATTTTTCAATTTCCCAGTGATTCAATAAGACTTGTTAAAACCATTTAAAAATACCAGGTCCTTAGTGTTAAAGGTGGCATTTGAAACCACAAACTATTTCACCAGTGATAACCAGAAGGCCTAGCTTTCATTTTAACAGTTAATAACCTGAGATAAAGACTCATGTTGGCAAGCAGGTGTCAAAAATATTATGATATGATGACACATTCTGCTAGTTGTCTAAAAATTACTCCTCTGAGAACAATAGCCTCTAGACATATGGTTTGATTCTTCTTTTTAAGAATCGATGTCTATTTTAATTTTCTGAGTAATTTTTGTCTCCATTAAATTCCAGAATATGTAATAGCATGTTCTCATTTATCTTTCTGTGTTTTTTATTTTGTGCTAAATAGGTTCTTAAATGGGATGAGAAGTTAACAAAACAGTACAGCTGTTTGATAATTAGCATTATTTTTAGAGTTGAGAAACAGTGGTGTTTATTTGTGTTTCTCATCACACTAGCTCTTTTGCGGAGAGGTAATGTTGTAATGATCCTATAAAGGATCATCTTCCCCTTTGTTTCTGCATTGACTAGGAGGGTATCATGTATGGTTGGTGTTCACCTAATATTCATTGATTTGATAACTAAAAAGGCTTCTCTTTTAGTTTAAATTTGTAAATTATTGCTTTGTGTTGCTTATTGAGACTAAATATAATCTTAAACTCATCAGAAACAATCTATTCTAAGGATATCTTTGGCTGTATTTTGGATAAAAGCATAATAAATTTCCCTCAATTGGTTGCTTGTATTTCATAGGCTTTCTGTTTTTTTAAAAGTACTGGTTACACTAAATTATAGTATTTTTATCCATGTGTTGCAATGTCACTTTTCTATTCGCTTTAAAACAGTATTCATGCTTCTCTTTGTCTTAATAGTTGTTGACCTAAGCTTTCTTTTCTTTCTGACTCTTAATCAGTTATGTTAACTTGCATTTTCAATTATCTGTTGTATTTTAAAAAGTCAAATGAATCTGAAGATCATGGCTTACATTGCTCTACCTATTTATAGGACACCAAATATGCCATTTTTATTTCATGGTATTGATGTATGAGATTTTAAAAAGAACGATAATAGTCTCAGCAGACTCCAAAACTACTTTTCTGAGTTGTTTCTAGCCAGTGCTACTTCACTGTTCAAATTTAAAAATTGAAAAGCTTATAATTGTCCATGTGGTTAACTAAAGTACTTGTTTTCTGGGGCACTTCCAGAGGTGTGGGAACCAGGCATTTCAGTTTTTAAGAAAATTTCTGAGAATGGACAAGGTTAGGGTTAGGGGTTAGGGTTTAGGGTTAGGGTTCAGTAGAAGTCATACTGATTAGTGGTTAATAAAATGGAGATTTGAATCTACTGGCCTGGGTTTAAACCCTAGTGGTATTGTTTATTAACTATGTGTCCTTAAATAAATATTTAACTTCTCTACATTTCAGAGTATCCATATGTAAGATAGAACACAAGCTTCCCATACCATCTCCCCAGGCTGTTGTAAGGATTAAATGAGATAATGCCTTTTAAACTCAGTATGGAATAATCTCTCAATATATATCCCTAATCATTAGATTTGTTGTATTTGAATATAATTATTTTACCTCTACTGTACATGTAGGAAATTCATGAAGTACTCCATTTTTATAAAAATGTTGTGCCAGTATGTTAAATTCCAACCATGGGACTCAATCCTTTATAACATCTCCAAGTTTCCAAGCACGGCTCTGGTATAATTCTATGGCCCTCAGGTAAACAGTGGTTTCCTCTGTAGTCGCTCTAGAGAAAAATTTAGTTTAGAACTCACCAGGCTACATTCTGGAAGCAGGGCTAGGTTTCTCTTTCAGGACACAAACATACCATCTTAATATTCTATTTATCTGAAGAAGTCAAGGTATCTGCTTTCTAAAAGAACAAAAAATTATTTTTTGCCAAGTGGAGTGAAAAATCTACTACTGCCTGCTTCTTCCCACAGTATCCATAAATATGCTGAGTCCATTTATTTTGCCAGATGGGGTTTGAGACCCTGCTGAAACAAGAGATGTCTTCATTTTTGTATTTCCCTCAAATTCTGCCACAAACCACACTTGGGAGAAAGAAAGAAAAAAGTTGCCTTGTAAGCATGTTTACCTTCAACTCACTAGGAAGTTGAAACATATCCGTAAGTGATGACTCACCACTATAGTTCTATAAAAGCAAGGTAAGTGCCAGCAGAAAGGCAGCAGCCTCTAGGTACAACCGTTCAAGATGCGCCCAGGTGTCCTGGCTGCCTTTCTCTTCCTGAGTTGGACTCATTGTTGGCCCTTGCCCCTGCCCAGTGGTGATGACGATGAGGACTTGTCTGAAGAAGACTTCCAGTTTGCAGAGGTAGAGTCCCTTGCCATTCTCGATGATGTGGTACATCTCTCTTAAATTCATTTTTCTTTTAAAAGCAGCTCATTTTGTTCTCTTTTCTAGCGCTACCTGAAATCATACTACCATCCTGTGAATCTCGCGGGCATCTTGAAGAAGAGTGCAGCAAGCTCAATGGTTGATAGGCTCCGAGAAATGCAGTCTTTCTTTGGCTTAGAGGTGACGGGCAAACTTGATGATAACACCTTAGACATCATGAAAAAACCAAGATGCGGAGTCCCCGATGTGGGTGAATACAATGTTTTCCCTGGAACTCTCAAATGGTCCAAAATGAATTTAACTTACAGGTAAATCATAGGCTAGTTTTCCTTAATATTTGTTAGTTTTTTCCCCCAGTGTTAAATGTCAAATATTAAGTAGGCCTGAACTATTTAATTGGAAGTTAAATTGAATAGCTTTAATACTGTTACTGATAAGGTTTTATAACATCTGTTATTATAACACTGATCCAGAATAATTTTTCAGTAAACATCTCAAGATATTTCTTTTTAAAAATAATATCAAATAGAAGTAATAGTAGATTTAAGAAAATTTGCAAATGTGTAATCAATTGTGTTTTATAATAGTGCTTGGAGAGTTCTAAGCTTTCTAGAAATTTTATGGAGCAATATAATGTGGCTGTATTAATATAATCCCAAAACTTTAGTATGTAAAATGAGTTGCATTATTCACCTAAATATTTTACATTTATGAAGGCATATATGCAGATATTTAGAGATATTCAAATGTCTGATTGAAATTTATCTTTTTATGCTTGTATAGAATCACAATTAATAAATTCTACCTCTAGTAGAACTTTTAAAGACTTTTCATTTTGAGTTGACAAGCAACATTCCAAGAAAGTATATTCTCAAATAGTGCTAGCCTTCCAAAATTTAATTGAAACCTCCTCTGTTAAATAGAATTGTGAATTATACACCTGATATGACTCATTCTGAAGTGGAAAAAGCATTCAGAAAAGCCTTCAAAGTTTGGTCCAGTGTGACACCTCTGAATTTTACCAGACTCCATGAAGGCACTGCAGATATCATGATCTCTTTTGGAACTAAAGGTACTCATGCAGAATTATGTTCGAAACATTTTATATTCTAACCATTTAATTGGCCCCATTTTAAAATTTCTTCTCAGTCATTCATCACATTTACATCATTCAATGAAAATTCACCAAGCCCCCGTGCTGAGTATTCTTGATTATAATTAGATCTTTACTCTTTCTTTTGTCTGCAGAGCATGGTGACTTCTACCCGTTTGATGGACCCTCTGGTCTGCTGGCCCATGCTTTTCCTCCTGGACCAAATTATGGAGGAGATGCCCATTTTGATGATGATGAATACTGGACAAATAGTTCCAAAGGTAATATTTCTTATAAAGATATAGTTCCCATATTATTGGGTTAGGTTAGATAGATGCTTTACAAAGTATAGAAGCTTATAAGTAAATTATATTTTTAAAAGTAAATCATATGTAGTGTTTGATTATATTTTCTAAAAAATCAGTTTTTCTTGTACTTGTTATTGTCTCCACAAGTGATATTTCTACATGTCAATATTAAATTTTAAAAATTGCTAAAGTCTACTTAATTTATCCTTGTGGCTTTAAAGGATATTAACTCTGAAGTTGGACCAAAATGTCTTTACTGTCAGTTGAGACATTGCTACGTTAAATTATCTTTTGGTATGTTGAAGATGTATAAATAATACATACATATCTATCTATCTATCTATATGTATATATAAGAGAGAGAGATAGTATTGTGTAAAATAAAGATATATAATTAGGGTGGATCTATGGCTCATAACTGAACTGGATGTAAATCAAAATGTTTTTCTTTGGAAGAAATATTAATGGCATTAGGTCAGTCAAATTTCTGTCCCTTGTTGCCTGAGTTACTTGTTTCAGTCTTGTCTATAGCACTCATTTTATAAATACCACTCTGGAAAAGCAAGATAATGTCTTACTCCAAATAGCATGAGACAGATAAGATGAAAACTTTATTTGAAAGAATAAAACAAACTGAGTGTTGATGAATTAATTCAGCAGTTGAATCTTCAAGGCTCAAATTAATTGGGTTGTTAATTTAGGAAGAAAAGCCATAGATCATCCCAACTAGGATTTAACTTTGGAGCTGGGTAGATCCTTAGGACAAGTAGAAGCAGTCTTCAATTTTTATTGAAATAAAAATCATTTTTCCCAAGAGTAAAATGGGGTCCTAAATGATTAATGCCTCAGTCCCAAAGCCTCCAATCAATATTTGGAGAGAAAGGTGAGAATTTACATATTCATGTTCTGAGTACTTCATAGGTAAGGCTAGTTTTAGGAAGAAAGGATATTTATAATGGTTGAGGTAGAATTGTAGTAAGCCTCAGATCTAGGTTACTGCATAACTACTGGGCTTGAATTATTTAATTGAAATAAATAAAAACATGCACAAATAAATCTGGATTAAGTTTTCAGCTAAAGGCTAAGAATAGTATCTATTACTAGTTGTTTCAGTAAAGAATTGCTTATCACTCAGGTCTTTCAATCACCAATTACCCTGTGATGTGTAAGATTTGCTTAGTTCATTTTCTTCATGCATAAGCTATGTCTACGTCAAACTAAAACCACTGGCTCCAGCTTTTATGTGGTCTAAGCAGAAACAACCATATCCCTATTTGCTTATGTATCTTCTTATTTTTCTTTGAATGCTTTATTATTCTTCTAATTTAAAACACCAGTAAATTAGTAGAAACAATGACTGAAGGAAACAATGTAAATATAGTAGCCTAGCCATATTCTAGAGTTTTTGTTTTCTAAACTCTGGCATCCAGAAGAACTTTGGAAAGAATAACTTGGATGGAATTTGTTCCCAGGTATTTACCCAGAGACTCTATGTAGCTCATCCTGTCATTATCAGTATGAATGCTGCCCCCTATGATGATGATCTTGCTGCCCTCTAGCTATGCACAACCCTATGTGACTTCCCTTTCTTCAACTAGGCTAAAACTACAAAGAGCGAATCAGGAGTCCTTTGGTCTTTACATGAAATCCTTATTGATTGCTAGTTATATGAGAACAATCTGTGGATATCACTGTAGGTGTTTGACTACTGTGTAGTCAGCCATAATAAAAGACAAAAATAATTAGTAAGAATTAAGTCCAAACTTTAAATCTTCATACAATTAGATATTATTTTTTAAAATAGAGTGAGCTAATAACATAAGAGAAAAGAATTACAGAGGAAATAGTATTTCTTTCATTAACTGGTCATTGTAGTACCTTTTCTCATTGTTTCTGTATTTTCTTACAGGCTACAACTTGTTTATTGTTGCTGCCCATGAGTTGGGTCACTCCTTAGGTCTTGACCACTCCAAGGACGCAGGAGCTCTCATGTTTCCCATATATACCTACACTGGCAAAAGTCATTTTATGCTTCCTGATGATGATGTTCAAGGGATTCAGTCTCTCTATGGTAACTTTTAATTTAACAATTATAAAAGTAGAATATAATCACCTATAAAATTAGTTATGTAAGAAAAAAAACCCACATACATTTATTTCCTAAATTGCTTCTGAATTTACTGCTTCCAACAATGCTGTTCGTGTTTTGTTACTAACACCTGAGGAAAAATTAGCCAGTTTTTCTTTCTAAATAAAAATCACTCTAATTTTCCAGAGTAGAAATCACTCAAGCAGCCTTTGGTAGTTTTAACCAATATCCTCAATGACATTATAAAAAATTCTTTTCTTCCCTCCAAGTTTTCAATAGTATTTACAAAATAATTAAACCTCAACTCAAACATTTATTTATGGGTTACTGCCATAACTAGAATTAAAGTCATCATGCACAGTCATCAGTGTAAACATTTTTGGAGCAAAGAGCTTAAAAACCTTGCTGATGCTGTCTCAACTCATCATTTTCCCATCTGTATTTAAATCTGCTATTACAGCTGATGTAAGTGAGGGCATGGACTTGAAGGTGTCAATGGAAATTTTCCTTTGCATTTCTTTTTCGCATTCTGTTATGATGCAGGGATTGGTGATGGAACTCAGTAGAAGCAGTATAGGGTTACCCTGTGTGCATGCATGTGAGCTGATGTAAATCTTTCAAACATGTGACTAGTAACATCAGAGCTGCTGACTTGTCTCTGAGATGCAGCTGCACTGTGGCAGACTTGGGAAGCAACATCAGCTGATGTTGACAGTTGGTAAAATAGACAAGTAAAGAAGCCAAGATGAGAACTCCCACAGACACCATGTACCATCAGAAATATCTTTAAGAGGAATGTGTTTCTTCAGAGCCATCTGACAATAAGTTGTGCAAGGCATGAGGGAAAATTTTCTCAGTTTATTGCTTTCTCCCATTTCTCAGATTAACCTTAAGAAATCAAAATTTATAGTTCATCAAAATTTGTAATAGTCCTCCAGTAACACCTTGATAATGCTGCAGGAAAGAAGTAGGGCTACAGGGAATTTAAACTTCTGCTGTACTTAGAAGCCTCAGGACTTCGTGCCCTCCCTGGAGGAAACCGTCTCCTCTCTATTAGTAGGATCAAGCTGTTGTATATGCCTCATGTTATCAGGAAGGTCACCCTAGGTAATTTCTCATATTCTTTTCATGACTACAGGTCCAGGAGATGAAGATCCCAACCCTAAACATCCCAAAACTCCAGACAAATGTGATCCCGCCTTATCCCTTGATGCCATTACCAGTCTCCGAGGAGAAACAATGATCTTTAAAGACAGGTACTCTTGAGAATCTGTCATGAATTCTGCACAATAATTTGCACAACTATGTCTACAAATTGCAAAATACCAGTAAAATTTCCAAGGTTGACAGCAAAAATATTACACTCTTGACAGTTTAGTTACATATTTCAAGTCAAATAAATGATGGGTAAAATCTTACTTTTAGCAGATAATCTTATCACTATGCACCTTCCTTTACACCTTTGGTTATAGTCTTTCTTATAAAGATACCAAAGTAAAAGAGAAATACAATTTATTTGAAAAGCAGATATTAAAGGGAATTAATTAGTAAACAGTTACTCATGAATGTTCACATAAATGTCTTTTAACATGAAAAAACTTTGATTCTGGGTGCGTATGTTGGAACTTGAGACAAAAAAGTCTTTAAACCTATAGATAATGAAAAAGGAAATATTAATTTTAAATTTCTAAATTTCTGTTTTATGCTTATATATTCATTTATTCTTTCTTTGCTTCCTCACGTGTGGTCCAAAAACATCCCCACTCTCTACTGACTAACTGCACTGTGCTCCACTTGTTTTCTCACATATCATTTTCCCTGGGCCCTGAGTTCACTGAAAATAGAATGTGTGAAACTCATGCTTTCTTCCTAAAGCCTAACACAATGCTTGGTACATTTGCTTCCTGCAAGATGTATAAAATCTAAGCAAGTATGATCTCTACCCAAAGAGGACTAGAGGCTTTACAAAGGCTTTGTGGTATTTCAAACTTGTATATCCTCAGAGGCCATTAGAACAATCACAAGTTATAAACAGAACTTAAAGGAACATAGATTTTTCCCCCCCTTCACAGGTGCTAGGGCATTACTGTATTAACTGTAATGATGTGGCGAGAGGAGGCTAGCAGGATTGAAGCACTGAGCATAAAAATGTGATAGAGAAATCTATTTTGCTCTTGCATTAGATTCTTCTGGCGTCTACACCCTCAGCAGGTTGATGCAGAGCTGTTTTTGACAAAATCATTTTGGCCAGATCTTCCAAACCGTATCGATGCTGCATACGAGCATCCTTCCCATGACCGTATCTTCATCTTTAGAGGTAAGGCTTCCACAGGTGAAGGAGTGGCTAACTTCTGGTTACCAGTGATTACATGAAATGATCATTGGTGAAGATATGCCTAAATTAAGAAGCCACCATAACAAACAAAAATCAGAAGGCACCTGAAACTATTCCACCAAATATCCTAAATTTGATATGTAGAAGATCATATGGTTACTTATCCTATCCATTCATTGCTTCATATCAGCCATTTTAGGGTTTTTTGTTTCCCTTAAAAATTGTTTACTGAAAAAATATAACAATGTATAGTTTGAAAAAATGAAACAATATTAATTCCTCTCTGTAATTCCTCTCTGTGTAAATAAGTTTATTTCATTTTCTCTATTTTCTAGTCTTTCACCACGTTGAATACATCTTTGTACTTACTTAATTTCAAAATATAAATAATTTTTTTATATTCTGCTTGCTTGTTTGACATAGAATCATGGAAAATATTCCATTTTTTTCCTGTGTTTTCATAGTTATAACTTAATGTCATATTTACATAACATTGTGACATCATTTCTATTATTCAACTATTATAATGTTACAATGGAGTTAATTTTTTCCTCAGCTATTGGGGATTAAACTCACTAGCTTCCCACTGAGCTACATCCCAAGCCCTTTTGTATTTTGAGGCAGAGTTTCACTAAGTCACTAAGTTGTCTTGTCCATGAGGTTGAACTTTGGATCTTCCTGCTTTAGCTCAGACAGTCCTGGATGCCAATCATGTGTCATAATGCCCTGTTGTAATGAAGTTAATCTTTGAAGAGAAAGAAATAACTTGCTAACTGATATAAAAGTTGAATGTCAAATCTCACTTATCGTTCCTGTGGTGCTATTATTCACACAGAAGTTTTAATGTATTTAACTGTATTTATTATACAGTTATAAATTGCCAAATTAATTGTGATGTATGATTGGCTTTATTCACAATTAAGCAACTAAGAATTTCAATCCTACTTTTTTCTGTGAGAAATGCTCATGTTCTCAAGTTTCATAAACATTGCATTACATCACAAGCACTTATATTTCTTACAGTCTTCCTTTATTTAAGTAAATGACTCTTTATATGAGTCCTAATAATTCTCTTGGGTAAGTATTTTTTCTTTTATTTATTCTAGGAAGAAAATTTTGGGCTCTTAATGGTTATGACATTGTAGAAGGCTATCCCAAAAAAATACTGGAACTAGGATTTCCAAAAGAGATTAAGATGATAAGTGCGGCTGTTCACATTGAGGACATGGGGAAGACCCTCTTCTTCTCAGGAAACCAGGTCTGGAGGTATGGAAGTAAAACACACAGAGCCATGTGACATGGGGGCAAAGTGAGCCGCAAACATCTGTCTCTACTCCACATTATCATCTCACATGTTATTCTCAATGTCATGCCAGTCATTTATTTCTTTTCTATGTCAGCTTTTTCAGGAAGCTCCTCAAGCATGTAGCTCCTCTAAAACACACACACACACACACACCACTTACACAAAGAACTTGCCTGTTTTAACCATTCTGTTCTTTTTGCAGCTATGTATTATACCCAAATCATGGCAAAACCATGGTTTTCTACTTTAGCTTCTTTATTTTATCTGGCCTTTCTCCTGGACTATTTTTGTCACTTTCCTATTTTGCATATGATCCATTTTCAGTGGTTAGAGAGGATACCAGAATGGGTACAGGTATAGATTGGTTGAGAGGGCTCCGTGTTTGTAGAGTTGGCTGATCCATTAGAGAGGGAACCAGGTAGTTGACAAGCCCACAGTTTGTGAAGTCACATTTTCTGAAGGGCAAATATTTAAACCATGTGTAGAGATTCAGGCAGCATTGATATCAGCAACACTTAGAAGCCAAGATCCATGCCTATATTAGGGAATGACAATGTATTGTAGGAACACAGCTCTTGAAAAGTTTAGTGTGGAAACTTAACTCTGTTCGCATATACACACACACACACGCACGTGAGCATGCATTCATGAGTGTACCCTAGGCTGCATAAGAAGTCTTTGGTTCAGTCAGGGTGAAATGCTTACTATATCTCAAATACAAGGTGTTAGAGCCGGGGCTTTAGCTCAATGGTTCTGCCACCTGCCTTGCAAGTACAAGGTCTCAAGTTTGATCCCTGGTACCAAAAAAAATTTTTTTAAAAAGAAAAAAAGATGTGTTTTACATGTTCTTGCAGTATCCTTTTCTTTTCTGTAAGGTCTTTTACTGTATCTCCTCCTCTTGAAAGTCTACCTATTTGAAATATTATTCTATCCACAAAATCCTTTTGATCAGCCCATTCTGAGGCTATCTTCCCTTTTTAAAAGTTTTTATTGGTACATTTAATGTACACAATATAATGATATTCATTGTTGGAAACTTGTAGCTTTGTATAATCCATTTTGGTTCTTTTTTTTTTCCCCATTTCCCTCCCCTCCTTTCAACCCCTCCCTCCCTCCCAATCTACAAAGACTTTGTTTCCATTATTTTTCATTTTCTCTTATTGATTCTATTCCCTTCTTTGTTTTCCACTCTCCCTCCCGCTTCCCTTTCATCTTTGTCCCTTTATTTCCTATTTCACATTATTATACCTTTTAGTCTTTATTTACACTTTCAGTTTTTCACACTAGAGAAATTATTCAGTATTTACATGTGTGCGCTATTTATATCACTTGAGTATCACATCAATGTGCATCCACTATAAATGTCTCTAATATTTCATTTTTTATGACTGAGTAGTGTTTCATTTTATTAAAAAACCCACATTTTCTTTATCCAGCCTCCAGTTGATGGACAATTGGGCTGCTTCCAAGTTTTAGGTATTACAAAGTGTGCTGCTATGTATATGGGTACACATATATCACAGAAGTATGATGCTTTTAATTCTTTAGGGGAGATACCCAGCAGGGAAATAGCGGGATCAAGTGGGACTTCCAATCATAGATCCTTGAGGTATCTCCATACTGCTTTCCATAGTGGTTGCACCAATCTACACTCCCAACAGCAGTGGAGCAGGGTTCCTGTTTCCCCACAGCTCTGCCAGCATTTGTTTTTGGTTGATTTCATGATAGCAGCCATTCTTACTGGGATGAGGTGGAATCTAGGCACTGTTTTCATTTGCATTTCTCAAATGACTTTTCCTGTACTCTGATAATATTTTGTGTTTTATATTCTCATGACATTTAACTTCTGTTGCTTAGTGTTGTAGTCAAGGATATACATGGCTAAGTTTTCTTGACAATTCAGTGATTCTTACCTTCTACCTGTTGGAACACACCTCAAGGACATTAAAAGCTCTCTTCAGTAATTGGTAGTACTTTCTGGGAGCCTGTTCTTGGATAATATCAGATTGAGTTGGTTGGGCAGGGTGTGTTGTGGGCAGGGAAGAAATATGAAATACACAGTTATGGAAGGGGAAAGCTGTATTCCTTTTGTCATCTTTAATGCAACCAAATATTCTTATAACTTTTTTTTTGTACCAGGGATCGAACTCAGGACCTTGAGCTTGTGAGGCAGGCACTGAGTTAAATCCCCGCCTTCCTCTAACTTTTTAGTACAAAAATTAAGTTTATATATTTTTTATCCATTACTGTACTTAGAAGTTGTCTTACAAAGAGTGGGAGATCAATAGATAATTGGTCAATGCACAAATGTATATTTATTTCATTTTAAGAACATTTTCTTGATGACATACTTTTATAACAGATATATAATTTGTGAAATGGAAATGAACATATGACTATATTTACAAAGATAGACTTTAAATACCCACTATACCCTCAGTAATATAAGTCCTATGATATGTTTTAAGGGCACTTAAAATTTTTTTTCAGCTTTAATTAAGTTTATTGGTACATTTAGGGATACAGTACAGTTACATTCATTGTTGGAATCTTGTACCTCTACATGACAGGTCTTGGTTCTCATTTTTTCCCTTGTCCCTGCCCTCCCTTCACCCCCTCCTCCCCTCCCCATCTACAAACACTTTATTTCCATCTTTCCATTGTCTCACATTTTTTTCTTTTCCCTTATTACCCTTCCCCTACCCATCCCACATTCCCTACGCCTTTAGCCCCTTTCTTCCCATTTCTCAATGTCAGTAATCTTATTAGGATCTTCTGTATTATTACAGATTATTCACACCAGAGAAACTATTTTGTATTTACACATGTATGCCTTATTTATTTCACTTAGGAGTATATCTTCAATATGTATCCATTTTCCTATGAATGAATCTATTTTCTCGTCCTTTATGGCTGAGTAATATTTCATTTTATAGAAAAACCACATCTTCTTTATCCAGTTTCCAACTGATGGGCAAATGGTCTGTTTCAAAGCTTTATCTATTACAAACTGCCGCTATAAACATGGGTGCACATACTTCTCTGTGATATGATTCTTTTAATTCTTTTGGAAAGATACCCAGCAGAAGGATGGCTGGGTCAAATGGAACCTCCAGTCTAAGCTCTTTGAGGTATCTCCATAATGATTTCCATAGTGGTTGCACCAGTCTGCACTCCCACCAACAATGGAGAAGGGTTTCTTTCTCTCCACAACCGCACCAACATTTGTTATTGTGTGATTTCTTGATAGCAGCCATTCTTTGTGGGGTGAGGTGGAATCTCAGTGTTGTTTTCATCCACATCTCTTGAATGACCAGTGATGTGGAACATTTTTTCATATATTTACTTGCTGCTTTTACTTCTTTGTCTGAGAAATGTCTGTTCATTTCGAATGCCCATTTTTTAATCAGGTCTTTATATTTGGGGGGACTGATTGTTTTGAGTTCTTTATATATTCTTGATAATAGTCCTTTGTCTGAGGAACAGCTGGTAAAAATTTTCCCCCCATAGTAGGTTGTCTCTTAGTTCTGCTGATGGTTTCTTTTTCAGTACAGAAGCTTTTTAATAAGATGAGATCCCAGTTGTTGATTCTTTCTGCTATTTCCCTTGCTACTGAGGATTTGTTCATAAAGTCTTTTCCTATGCCATTGTCTTCCAGAGTTCTGCCTAACTTATCTTCCAGCAAGTTTAGTGTTTCTGTTTTAATATTTAGACCTTTAATCCACTTGGATTTTAATTTAGTGCATGGTGACAGATAAGGGTCTCATTTTAGTCTTTTGCAGGTTGAGATCCATTTTTTCCAACACCATTTATTAAAGAGGCTATCCTTCCTCCACTGAGGATGGTCAGCTCCTCTGTCAAAGACGAGGTAGCTGAGTGCATCTGGAGTTGTTTTTGTGTCTTCCAGTCTGTTCCACTGATCCTCAGGTCTGTTTCTTTGCCAGTACCATGCTGTTTTTGTCACAGTGGCTTTGTAGTATAGTTTCAAACTGGGAATTGTTATACTCGCTGCCATGTGTCTGTTGCCTAAGATGGTTTTTGCTGTTCTAGGTCTCTTATGGTTCCAAATGAATTTTTCGATTCTTCTTTCTAGTTCTGTGAAGTATAGTGTTGGGATTTCAATTGGCATTGCATTGAATCTGTATAGCAGTTTTGGTAGTATGGCCATTTTCACTATGTTGATTCTTCCTACCCAGGAGCAGGGGATATATTTCCATTTTTTAATATCCTCTTCAGTTTCTTTTTTCAAAGTGCTATAATTTTCAGTGTAGAGACCTTTTATTTCTTTTGTTAGATTGATTCCTAGATACTTCATTTTTTTGGATGCTATTGTAAAAGGAATTTTTCCCTTATTTGTGTACAAGAAGGCTATTGATTTTTGAGTGTTTACCTTGTATTCAGATACTCTACTGAATCTGTCAATTAAGTCTAGATGTCTTTTAGTGGAGTTTTTTGGGTCTTCAATGTAGAGTATCATATCATCAGCAAATAATGACAGTTTAACTTCTTCCTTTCCTTATCTTTATTGCTTTAATTTCTTCCTCTTGTCTAATTGCTGTGGCTAACGTTTCCAGAACTGTATCGAACAGGAGTGGTCATCCTTGTCTTGTTCCTGATTTTAACGTGAAGGTTTTCAGTTTTTGACCATTTAATATGATGTTGGCTGTTGGTTTTTCATAGATAGCCTTTATTAAATTGAGGTATAGACCATCTATTCCAATTTTTTGCAGGGTTTTTATCATGAATGGGTGTTGAATTTTATCAAATGCTTTTTCTGCATCTATTGAGAGGATCATATGGTTTTTGTCCTGATTTTGTTAATGTAATGTATTACATTGACTTTTGTATGTTGAACCACCCTTGCATTTCTTGAATAAATCCAACTTGGTCAGGATGGATGATCTTCTTGATAATCCTCTGTATTCTGTTTGCTAGTATCTTATTCAGGATTTTTGCATCTATATTCATTAAGGAAATTGGTCTGTAGTTCTCGTTTTTAGTTGTGTCTTTCCCTGGTGTGGGAATCAAAGTGATACTTGCTTCCAGGAATGAATTTGAAAGTATAGCTTCCCTTTCAATTTCATTGAAAAGTTTGAAGAGTAATGGCAGTAGTTCTTCTCTAAATGTCTTGTAAAATTCAGCAGTGAATCCATCAGGGCCTGGGCTTTTCTTTGTTGGTAAAATTTTAATTACATTTTCAATTTCACTGACTGTAATTGGAGTGTTTAAAATGTTTTTATCTTCTTTGTTCAACTTTGGTAATTCATAAGCATCTAAAATCTGTCCGTTTCTTCTGTGTTTTCCATTTTATTGGAGTACAGGTTCTCAAAGTAGGTATTAATGATCCTCTGGATTTCTTTTGGATCTGTTGTGACTTTGCCTTTTTCATTCCTGATTGCATGGATCTGAGCCTTTTCTTTCCTTTTTTTGATAAGATTAGCTAAGGGTTTGTCAATTTTATTTATTCTTCCAAAAAAACAGCTCTTTGTTTCATTTATTTTTTGTGTCGTTTTCTTAGTTTCCATTGCATTGATTTCTGCTCAGATCTTTATAACTTCCTCTCTTGTTCGAACTTTGGGTTTTTTCTTGCTCTTGTTTTTCTAGGAGTCTAAGTTTCATCGTTAGGTTGTTTATTTGAGCCCGCTCTGTTTTCCTAGTGTGGGCATTCAATGTTATGAATTTTCCCCATAGAACTGCTTTCATTGTGTCCCATAGGGCAGTTAAAATTTTTAAAGTCTTGCTGATTTGTGAAGGTTCCACTATATCCACTGTTTATTTATAAAGCTTTTTTTTTTTTCTTCTGAGATAGTTTTGTCATTGCTTAGGCTGGCAATTCTCCTGTCTTAACCTCCAAAGTAACTGGGATTGAAAGCATGTGCTACTACTTTTTAAGAAGTATAACTTACTTAAGAATTTATTTTTCTTTTTAAATAGATATGATGATACTAATCATGTTATGGATAAAGACTATCCCAGACTGATAGAAGAGGTCTTCCCAGGAATTGGTGATAAAGTAGATGCTGTCTATGAGAAAAATGGTAACTAGTAACATTGCATTGATTTTCAAGCCCCACACAAAGGATTTTAATAAAATACTTAGATGTACTAATAAATGTATAGCAGTTAAGGCATTAATCATTTCTGTGTGACTACTTACACAGACAGCAAACAACAAAATAACCTGTTTAAAATAAATGAGAGTTTTATTTAAATATTGCTAATTATATGAGATGTTAAAGCTTAATTACTTTAATTTATGTGTAAAGATGCCAAGATGCAAAAGTTATTGCCAGAACTCACACTAGAGGTGGAGTGGGGGAATACTTTAGACTCGGAACTGCCATACCTACATAATGATTTTTTTTTTGCTTTAATTATGAAAACCTTATTATTTTCAAACTGAAATTTTTCTTGTGGTCTTTTTCTTGTAGGTTACATCTATTTTTTCAATGGACCTATACAGTTTGAATACAGCATCTGGAGTAACCGTGTTGTTCGAGTCATGTCAACAAATTCTCTGTTGTGGTGTTAAATGCCTTTAAAAAAATGTTATTTAAGTCCTGGAGAGCATTTGGGATAGTACTTCCAGAAGCACAGGGGCAGGGGGTGGGAGGAGACATTAGGGGAAAGCTTAGTTCTGTGAACAAGCTTCAGTAAGTTATCTTTGTATATGCAGTATCTACATGATATGACTATGCGTGGCTGGCACCACATTGAAGAGTTTTAAAGTAATGAAACTGAGTACCTCCGAGAATCATCTGATTCTGGTATGCTGTATAAAAGCAATAGTTAATGCTATGTCCCACCCCAAAAGTGGGATAGATGGTCAGTCATCTAGAACATGGTTTTTAAATATATTTATAAGGAAACTTAAAGGTAAATTACAATTATATAATTATGAATCATCATTAAAATATGAAAAGTATAAATGGAAATTTAGGGAAGTATGTGATATACATGAACATACAGAAGGGGAAATGTATGTGATAAATTTGCAGACAACTTTTCAAAAGATAATTTGGGTTTTTCACTGAGAGGATTTAGCTGTACATGCCCCACTTCACACAAATGCTAAAAAACATCAAAAGTCATTAAAGAAAGGAGACAAACACTAATATGAGGGTAGGCGATGTGGCTTTGGATTCTGTTTAATTTTTACTTTTACTAATGACTCCAGGGAACTTTCCAATAATACAGATAATTTTTTGCAATTGACACACAACTCTTTTTATTAGAATATTTCAGGTCTTTGAAAGTTAATACTCTAAAAATTCAAACTGTTATCAAAATAATTCAGATGAAAGCATCAGTTTTTCATTTTGATTATTTAACACTAAAAGCAGTGTTTTAGCCCTAATTGTTTTCATTATCCAGTTTACGTTGGCTATGTAGACTATTTTCTAAAAATTTGTATGGCAGAAAATAAAGTATATTTTATGGATTGCAAGTATATACATTAAAACAGAGACATTCAAAATAAATAAAATAATCCACTAGATGTGGGCCTCTTGAGATATAGAGCCATGCCTGTCTGTCTTTCCCTCTTTCCTCTCTCTCTCTCTCTCTCTTTCTCTCTCTCTCTCTGTCCCTCTCCTATTCCTCAGCATGTTGCCCAGTGCCTATACACTTGGTGGGCACTTGATAAGTGAGTGAGGACTAAAGGAAGAATTACTGGACTGAGAGATATTCTTCATAAAAACTCAAGCAAAGAAAATGAAGTATATACTTACATAATGGATTAAAAAGTATCTGTGTTATTTCTAATAAAAATATATTTTAACAGAGATATAATTTGAAGTTCTCAAAAAATTTGTTTCTTGAAAAACTTTTTTCTTGAATATATTTCCTCCCTCCCTCATTCCTTTCCCTTTCACTCTCCCCTTCTTTCCTCACTCTCTCTCCCCTCCTCTCCAACCCATCTCTGTTCCTCTCTTTTTCTTAACTAAATTCAGGATTTAGAATTAATTGTACCAGGCTACATTAATAAAGTTCTGATCAGTCTGGTTCTGAAGCGACCCTTCTTTCTGGGCCAGCTACCCTAGGGGAGCCCACACATTTCTCAGTGGAATCAGCAATATATCTAGAGTCAGGAAGATCGAGCTGTAATTCTCCCTCACCTCTAAACTATGCTCTGTGACTTTGTCCCGTTCATTTAATCTCTGTGCATCTCATTTTCTCCATCTGGAAAAGATTAGGATTGGCAGCTCTGGTGAGTTGGGGAAATATAGGGGTCAGGGGACTGCAGTGAGGAAAGCAAGAGAACCCAGGCTCCCCTAGACTTAAGTTTAGGTCCCTGCTGTTTTCCTAAGCTTTGTACTTTCCCCAAACATATAGTGTGTCTTTAAATATCATTTACTAGGAAATAAATGCACAATCTTAATCTCAACCCTTGTAAAGCTTATATGTCTTAGGATAGAAAAACTCTTAAAACAGCAATTAAGTTGGGACAGTGTCTTAGTTACTTTTTCCATTGCTGAGACGAAATATCCAATACCCAAAAATAAAAGAGGAAAAGTTTATTTGGCTCACAGTTTGTAGAGGTTGTGCTCCATAATTGGCTGGCTGCAAGGCAGGGTGGTGTGGCAGACAGGCTTGCAGAGGAGAAACAGTTCCTGGTGGGTAGAAGTAGCAAATCCATCAAGGGATCTTAGTGTCTTTCTACCCATTTTATCTTATCCAGATAACTTAGGGAGGGCAGCACTCACATCCTTAATCTTAGTGTTGTTGCGCCTAGCATTGCACCATGAATCAGTTCCAGTATCACATACTCTAGATCAAACACTCTAGATCCACCACCTCTGAAAAAACCCCATTGATGACTGCATGAGGCTTTGAGGGAACATCTAGCCATAAGCATAACAGACAATTAAGTGAGCTTTTAGGATGGAAATGATCACATTCTGTGGGAGCAGAGAGGACTGTTTATTTCTTCCTGCAGTGTACCACAAATAAAATCTGCACAATTTTCATCTTCCTTGACAATATAGCAGGCTTCCTGATAATGAAGTTTTGCAGCCAGGGACAAAAAAGGTCACCCCTAGGTCACTCTTCCAGGTCATCCCCGCCAGCCAGGTCCCACCACTTAACAGCATTCAGCTATGAACTCATCAGTGGATCAAGCCACTGCTGAGCAGAACGCCCCATAACCCAATCACCTTCCAAAAGCCTGCTTCTGGGGCACATTTTAGTTTCAAACCATAACAGGAACCCAGGAGTCTCCAAGTTAGCATGCCCTTTAGCTCTCCCAGGTCCCACAGAAAGTATCAGGAAGAGTCTACAGAAGTGCTCTTTGCCACGTGTTTCTGAGAGAGATTATATGGCTGATTCCATGGGCAATGCTCCCTGGTGAGACAGTGGGGGAGTCTTCTGTGCTATACTTCTCCCAGAAGTCTGTTACACACTCACACTTTAGAAGCTACTTGTAGTCCTGTGGTGGAAAGATTCTCTTTGTAGAGCAAGATTTTCCAGACCTTGCTTGAACATGGAATATCATTTACTGTCTGTATTAGAGTTCTTCAGAAGAAAAGAATAGAATATTCTAAGAGGGAATTTATTAGACTGGCATATATGATCAGAGGCTGAAAAGGCCTACAGTGCCATCTATCTGTAAGATGGAGAGGAAGAGAAACCAATAGCTACTCAGTCGGAGAAGCTGGAAACCTCAGAACAAAATGGACCAGTGATGCAGCCTATGTGCAAGGGTGAAGCCATGAAAGCCCCTTTCAGAGTTGTACATTCAAAAGCTGAAGTACCTAGGGTCTGAGATCCATAATCAGTGGCAGCAGCAAAAATGCACCTGCTCATGAAGAGTTCAGTGTGTGCATACACGCTATCTCCCTTCTTGTTCCTTCTGAACCTCTAACTTCTTTTTTTTTTCTTTTTATTGAGGTTATTGGTATAATCTAGGTATGCAATAAAATTACATTCATCATTGGGATTCTGTACCTTTACATAATGTCTTGATTCTCATTTTTCCCCTTGTCCCTGCCCTCCCTTCACCCCCTCCTCCCCTGCCCATTTACAAACACTTTATTTCCATTTTTCAGTTTCTCATATTTTTTTCCTCTCCCTTTTACCTTTCCCCCACCCTTCCCACTTTCCTTGCATCTTTAGCTCTTTACTTCCTATTTCACATCCTGTGTAGTATCATAGTTTTTCACACCAAAGAAACTATTCAGTATTTCAGTTAAATCTCTGTATGAATATTAAAAATAGGGAATCCTAAAATAAAACTAAAAAGGAAAGTAAAAGAGAAAAGGCAATGATGTAACATCAAAATAATCCTTAATTCTGGAGATGAAAATGGTCCCTGAACATATTTAAATTGCTTCTCTCTCTTATAGTCTTATCTTATTCTTTTTTTCATTATTTAGAGAATACTTTATTAGTTTCTGTAATCAAACCCACGTAGATATGACTTACATATTTAGTACAATGTGTTACCCCTGTACACATGGAAAAAAAATAAAAATAAATTAACATTTCTAGACCAATATGGTTGTCCTTCTGTACAA